CCGGCCCGGCACCACGCGCCCAGCCCGGCTCCCGGCTCGGCACCATGCCCCCGGCCCCGCGACCCCGGCCAGGCCCCGCACCGGCCCCGGCCAAAGAGGCCCCGGCCAAGCCCTTCCTCCCTCCCGATTTTCCCGGACATGCCCAGCTTTTGGGGATTTCCCCCCGGACGGGGATTTGAGCCCCCAAAAGCCGGACATGTCCGGGAAAATCCGGACGTATGGTAACCCTCCCTAATTGGGACCTCTAGGTACTACCATATAGAATGAAAATTCATCAGAGAGATTAGTCCAAGCTGCAAAGTTCAGGTTTGGATCTGAACTCCCCCAAAATCTGGAGATATGCCCATACAAACCTCTAATTACAAGCACTGAAGACTCTAGACCAACTTCCCAGGCCTGGCCAAGCTGTGCTTGTTGTCGGAATTAGTGTTGAGAAGGGAAGGTGGCTCTCAATTACAGCTATTTGAGAATTTTCCAACAGAACAGTCTCTCCAAAAAGACCAATTTGATAAAATTGAAACATTTTGTTTCAACTTGATTGCTTTGACTTTTCCATTTTATAATTTATAACATAAGAAGAGTTAAATAAATAAAGTTGAAATAAATGTTTTGATAAGGTTGACATGTTTTGCAGTGTTTTGTTTTGTAAATATTTCTGAGATTGACAAATTTGGGACAAAACCAAAATTCAAAATCTCAGATTTTCCCACGGGACAGAAATTCAATTTTTTGATCAATTCTACTCTTGTTATCTTTCTGCTTTGCTGATCTTGGATCTGAACCACCACCTAGATTAATTTAGAGCAGCCCCCTGGCTGCTCTAAATTATATCACTTAGAAAAAGTCCCATATGAATTACTAAAGTGCAGCATGCGCTGGTCATGACCTCTGCGACCATCAACCATGCTTCTGACCAACTCAGGAATAGGCAGGAGAGGTGCAGGGGCAGAGATACAATCCCCAGCTGCCTTGTTTGTGTGAATAAGAGGGAGCTCAGGGCAGGATCTGACCCTGTGGCCCAAATTCTGCCTTCAGTTACACTGGTGCAACTTCCATGGAAGTCCATCAGCCCCATTCAAGCGAGGGCAGGATTGGGCCCTGTGTGATTCAGGGGCAAATTACATACAGAAAGTAAGTCATGGCATAAAAATAGTAAATAGTGAATGCACCACACAGGAGCCATGAAACCAGCATCTGAGGGGAACAGACTCTTGGGCCTGTTGTCATTTGACTGCATCGATTTAGAAGGGAGGGGGAAAGAGAAAATGAAGGCAAGGCTGGGAGAGAGATGAGATTCAAGATATCCGTTCCCAAGGCCCTCTGTGAGGGCCCACCAAACCCAAAAGCCAGCCCTCAGAGTCAGCACACATTTGGGCCCCTTGGAGAGCTAACATCATCATATGATGTTGCGGGGGGGAGTCATGCTGTGATGGAAGGCCCCACCCCCATGCCACCCTAGTGGGCACAGAACCACCAGCCAGCCAAGAGATCTGCAAAAAGAGCAGTCATTTCCTTTGTGCCGTTGGATGTGGCCTGACAGCCTCCAGCTTAAAGAGGGATTACATTTTAAAAGCGGAGGTTTTTCTAATACTTATGAAAGCAAGGAAAGACTCCCTCCCCTTCCCTGCCTCCTTACGAGGACAGAGAAGGATTTTTTTTTTTAACTTTCTCCTCTCCAAACATGTACAGATCAGCTGGCCAAATCAGGATTTCAAGCTATTACAGTTACTTAGATTGCAGGGGATAGTCTTTTGTTTATACATTTGTACAGTACCTAGCAGGCCTGGCCTTTAGGTGCTTCCATGATGCAAACAACCACCACCAGCAGCTGGGAAGGACTTAGGTCCCCCTAAGTTCCCCTTTACAGCCACAGGAAATTGATCATGGGAGATACATCCAGGGCACTTGGGCAGAGAAACCATCACTGGGAGTAGCAGGGGCAAAGTTATTGAGGAAAGTGCATTTTATATGCACCTAAAATGCAGAACTGTGCTAATTACAGCTTTGGTTACACCAGGGATTGGCCTGGATTACAACCATCACAGGCCAGACCATTGTAGTCACACTTCTGGTATGAACCTCTAGCACCAATAGATAGAGCTGCTATTAAGGTGCAAATCATAGCTTACAACAGTCCTAACTGTCTACTCGAGGGGGTTGGGCTGGCGTAGTTGTACTGGTAGCTAAAATCCCCAGTATAGCCAGCGCCCTCATTTCAAATGGAATTTATATAATATTCTCTCTCCCCTTCGGCCTAGTCTCAGTCTTGTAGCACATTCCAGCAGCAAAGTGATGGGGTTTAATTCTGTACTGCCTTGCAATTATGAAGGCAGCCCTTTATACCTGGTCAAAGTGCACAGAGCACACTGCAGCTCGAACGTTTCAAACCAACAATGGCTTTCTCTCGTCAATGAAAAT